GAGGAGCCAGCTAACGTTTGTAAGCACAAGTACTCCTAGTTGAGTGTGCTGAGAAGTGACCCCAGGAAGGTCTCAGCTGCTGCCCCTTCGTCCGTAGAGGAAATGCAGGCCACAGTGGGCCACGTAGAGTCCCAGGCTCTCTGTCAGCGCTGGGCCTGGGCTGGAGACTCTCGGAGACACTCCCGTCCACTCCCCCCTCTGGGGAGAAAATGTGGCTCAGAGAGGGATGGACCCTGTCCAGGGGTGGCCACACTGTGGTCCAGACCTGGCTTCCTTGGAGGTGGCTCAAGGCCCTGGACCCTGCTGGCCTCACCCATGGGGTCATCCCCATCCTGTCTCCCTTTTTCTACCCGCCTGGTGCTTGCTGGCTTATTCTTACCCAGGATGTTGTAGACTGACTGTTGCTGATGTTCCCCAGGGCCCCGAGGGAGAACCTGGAGTCGATGGAGCCTCTGGCCTTCCTGGGATGAAGGGAGAAAAGGTACCAGAAGGTGGGAGGGTCCAACCCTGGGGAGCTGCTGGGCCTCCCCATCCTCTCCCCGACTGCCAGATCTGACTGCCCCCTGCCCCCCTGCTGAGCCCCAGACTGGGCTCACTGCACCCACCTCCTCTGCCTACGTCTGGCCTGTTCCTGCTGCAGAGTGCACACCGCCCCGCCCCAGTGACCTGGGCTCAAAAACAGCTCTCTGGTCCTCCTCTGTCTCCCTTACCCACCACTTCTGGCCACTGGCCAGGGCTGCCCTCAGACTGCCGCCCGCTCATTTGCTCAGGGCCCTGCCCCACCTCCCTTTATCTCCAGCCGGCTTCCACTCTTTCCACCCAGATGCCCTGTCCCCCGCCTACAGCAGGGTTGACATCAGGCCCTGCCCTCTCCCTGGGGAAAATACCCCCTCTGCCCTCCGGACAGAGCCCGAGGAATGGGATGCCTGCACTTGCTCCTTCTGCACACGGGCCATCTCGTGGCACTGACTCTTCGTCCTGTTGGGCGACCCTAACAATTATCTGCCGGCGGCTTTCCCGTCATGCTTAGCAGAAGCTCAGGGTCCCAAGGACCCTCTCCCACCACCCACTCTAGTAACTTAACTTCCACACAGGCCTCCAGGGTCCTGCCCCATCTGCCTGGTCTGCCTGCAGCGCCTCCAGGCCCCCAAGGCAGCCCCACCCCAGTCTCTGGCTGCTGGGATAGAGAGCATCCCTCTCCTCCTCCTCAAGGCCCAGCTCCGTGCATCCTCCGGGAAGCTCTCCCTGACGGCTGAGGAGTGGAAAATACCTCCCGCTCCATGCTCCCTCAGCACAGTGTTTATTCTGCAGGGACCCCCTCCTGCGCTGTGGCATGCACAAACACTTAGCTTACCTGTATGCCCCCCCACCGCATCCCACCCAGCAAACATGGGGCGCACAGCACTGTGTCTGTGCCCTCAGCACCCTCAGATGAGCGTCTGATGAACGAGCAACACTCCCTCAGAGTTTAAAACTCCAGTCTAACCCCTTCCTTCTCTGGGCCTGTGTGACGGGGAGATGGGGAGACGGGGCAGGGTTCCTCTCTGGAGGCGGCTCCCAGCCTGGTGGATGCGATGAGCCCTGTCAGCCGAAAGGGGACAATAACATTGCCGTGAACCTCATGCTGGGGACCGTCTGGAGTTTGACTGGGACTCCTTGGGGGAGGGTCCCTTCCTGCCCGCTGGGGTGCGGGTGGGAGTCTTCTGTGCACCCAGCCGGGTGAGGCCGTGAACAGTGCTGACTGCCTACATGCCACCGTGCCTGTGCTGCCTCTCCCAATTCTGTGTGCCCTCCAGTGTGTTTGTTGTCACCCGATTTTCATAGAAGATTATTTCTCAGAAGACGAGGAGGGAACGGCTTGACATGTCCCGTTTCACTAGAATTTAAACTTTGCAGGAAACGCTGCAGACCTCTCTGCTCATCTTACCTGTGCTTCTCACCTCTCCCCTCCCCTCCCCTCACTCCTCCCACACACCAGACCTTGATCTTAAACCTACCCACAGCCACATCCTCTGCAGCTGCTCGGGGCCCCGCCCCGGGGAAGGTGGGAGGCGAGCCACACACATGCGTGTTGGTTTCAGAAACCTTCTGGGAGTGCCAGTTGGGTAAGGTGACCAGACGTCCCACTTTTGGCGGGACAGTCGTGATTTTTAACAATTTGTCCCACGTCCTGTGGTGTTTTTAAAAAGTCCCGATTTTTGGAAAGAGTGCAGGACAAGCTAGGGTCTATGGTTTTCGGCTGCTGTGTGGCTATTTCGCCAGGATATGAGTTTGATCAATGGTGTCCTGCTTTACCAATGTGGAAATCTGGTCACCTTACAGTTGGGGGTGTGTACGTGAGCTTCCTTGGGAGTCCTTAGGCGACGCAGTGGCTAAGCAGTTCGAGTTCTTCAATAAGGGCTCCCAGAAGATCCAGTGATCGACCTCTGACCCATGGCAACCACTTTGAGTGCAGTTCTAAGACACTCTCGGGGTCACCACGAGTCAGCATCGACTCGCTGGTGAGGGGGTTAGTGGGGCAACTTAGGGGTGGTTTTGCTAGATTGCTTCCTCGTCAAGTAGAAACAGATTCCTGAAGGGCGAGGGAAAAGCACCTTTTTCTGCAGAGCTTAAGAGGAGCGTTGCATGTGACAGTGTGAAAAATCACCCATAAGCCAAGGACGAGGCTCTGGATGTAGAGAAAGCATCTCTGTCCTGACCGGTGGCATCTCTGGACCGTGCTCTGTTGATGGTGCATTCACCAAGGGTCACTTAGGTGGTTTCCGTCTTCGTACTAGGCCCGGTTGACTAGAGAAACCAACCCAGAGACACTCCTATAGGTGTCAGAGAGAACTCGATATCAAGAAGTACTTATGCCTCAATAAAACATCCCAGCCCACTCCAGATCAAGCCCATCAGTCCAAGATTAGCCCATGAATTTCTCTTCAGACGCACGCAGCACACACAACGATCACCGGCCAGTGGGTGGAAAGTCCTGTAGATCTGATGGCCGTGGATGCATCTCCAGGGCTCTGGCTGCCATCAGCGTGGCTCCACATGGCTTGTTAATAAAAGGTGAAACAAAGTGTGTCCGGTCTCCAGGGAAGAAGAGAGGAAAACTCCCAGAATCCTCATGAGAAGGCCACGCCCACAAGGAGGCACCATCAGGCTGTGGCCTGCTTGATAGGCTAGACGCCACCCCTATACCTATTAATCAGGTTGCCGTGAAATTCTGTAACTACCACAGGGCCCTTGTGGGTAGTGCCAGCACCAACACGGATGTACAAGGACCTGTCTGGATGCCCGCTTTCGATTCTTTCAGCATATCCCCAGAATGCGGTACATGCACACCGCGGAATAAAACCCCGCCATCGAGACAATAAAGCCTTGATACAGGTTACAGCACGGGTAGACCTTGAAACTATGCTGAGAGAAAGAAATCTGCCCCCAAATAAAACCATAAATATCGGATGATATTTCACCCTACTCTCATGAACTATCTAGAAGAAGCAAACCTAGACCGGCCAATGACAGGGCAGGATCCCATCTCACAGCATGCTGCTGTAGAATCCACGGGGCTGCATCTTCCTCCCTCTGAGCTGGGTCTGAATGACGCACACCCATGAGATGTGCATTACGGAGCCCTGGTGGGCCTGCGGGTTGGACGGCTTACAGCAAGGTTCGAACCCACCAGCCACTCCTCAGGAAGAGGATGAGGCTGGCTGCTCCTATAAAGACGGGCCGCTCTGGAACCCCACACAGTGGTGTCACTGTGAATCCGACAACTGGGTTCGATGGCAGGGCGTTTGAGGAGAGCGATCTTAATTAGCTTTGGGTTTTTCTGTTTCAGGGACCACAAGGGCCTGATGGTTCAGTTGGTGAAAAGGTAAGAAATGACAGCCTCCCCGTCTTGGGTGACCCGCTCCTCTCCCTGGCTGATGACCATGGACTTTCAGGGACTTCTCCACGGAGGTCGCACAGCAGGGCACAGTCCCTTGGAGAGTTTCCCCTTCCTTGACCCCCCACCCCCACCCCTGCCCAGGGATGCTCGGAGCAACTTACTCCCAAGAGGCACGCCAGTCACAAGGCTGCTGCTTTGTCTCACAAAGCAGCACAGGGCAGAGACGCCTCGGCCCCATTCCCTTCAAAGACCGCAAGGAGTGAGTGTAGTCCTGCATGACCAACGTGTCCTCTTGCTTACAGGGTGACCCTGGCAACAGAGGTTTGCCGGGACTCCCAGGCAAGAACGGAGAAGTTGGCACTCCAGGGGTCATGGGTCCCCCAGGGCCCCCCGGGCCGCCCGGACCCCCAGGCCCTGCCTGTGAAGTCGGACTTGGATTTGAGGTAAAAGAAGTGTGTCCATTCTCGGCTGCTGCATGGGAGGCCGGGCTGAGGGGGGCACGGCCCTTCTTCTCCACTGGACCCCCTGTGCCCAGGACATGGGGCTGGCTCTGAGCTGTCCTCCCTTGCCCTTCCCCAGGACGGCGAAGGCTCTGGGAGCCCCAGGCTCTGGAGTGAACCCAGAATCCCCAGGCCAACGGCATCGAGTGTGGGTTGATTTTTGAAACTTCCACCGGGAGAATGGTCGTACTGTCACAATGTCACGTGGAGTGAGGGGGCCCAGGACCCCCTACCTGGGCCTGGTCTGCTGGGGGGATGGGTGGGGAGGGGACAAGGGCTGGTGGACAGGAATAGAGTGACAGACGAAAACCGAAGCATGTGGTGTTGGGGTTTTCTTTTTGTTTCGTTTCGTTTTGCAGGGTCAGAAAGGAGAAAAAGGAGACCAGGGACCCAAGGTGAGGTTGCAGGTGTGTGTGTGTGTGTGTGTGTGTGTGTGTGTGTTGGGGGAAGGGGAGTGTCTGTTCACCCTGCTTCTAGAAGCATTACCCACTGACACTGAATCTTTCCTTTTTCTCTCACTGCTGGAACCAGGGTGACCGGGGAATGGATGGCACTGGCCGCATGGGACCCCCTGGGCCCCGGGGTCCACCAGGCCGCATTGAGATCTTGCCTAGTGTGAGTAGCGCCCAGGTCAGAGCATGGCTCTTGAATATTTGGCTTGGGGAGGAGTTTGTCTGAAAGCTGGCTGCCTTCAGGGGACATGAAGTGAGCAATGGAGGTGGGGGGCTTCCTCCCACCAGCACACCTCACCTGCCGCCCACACCCCTTGCCCCCCTTGCCACGGTGCTCCTGGGATGCTTCCAGAGCACCCCTCGGGGTGATGGCACGTGGGCACCAACCCCCACAAGCAGCCTAGGAGGTGGGTTTTGAGGAAGGCCTGAAGAGGCAGCACCCAGACAGGTTCTAAACAAGTGGAAGAGTGAAACCCCAAACCAAGAGGAAAGCCCCTGTTTGGATAGAGGAGAAGTTGAAGGACTTCGCCCATGGGGCCGTCAGATGCTCCTAAGCAAACTCAGATACTAAAGCCCTGCCCACCTGCCCCAGGTGGCCCTAGTGCCTGGGAGAAAGAAAGGGCCCACTGATGCTTCTCCCAACTGCCAATCCAATAGGCCACTCTGTCCCCCCACCCACTGGACAGAGTCCAGGCCTCGAGGAGCCACCAAAGGAGCCCCTTTGGTAGAAAGTGTCCCTACTACCCCCATCCCCACCAGCAGGGCCACGACGCTTTCTGCAGGAATCTGGGCCACCGGCCTCCTCCGGTCTTCGTGCTGCCACCGCTGCTGCCTGGTCTGTCTCCTCCGGTGCTCCTGGCACACAGTGCAGGCTCCGTCACTCTCAGCACCAGATGGGTGTCACCCCGCCTCTGTGGGGATTGACTCGACAGCACCCTAACAAAAACAAACACCCACACGCGTGCACTCCTATCAGGCCCCATACCGGGCCCTGTGGTTACAGAGGGAAGCCGCACACGGTCTCCACCCTCCACGAGTCCTGGTTCAGGAGGGGAGGACGGCTGCAAGCCCCTGCAGCTGAGATGCAAAGAAACATAAGGGGGTAGCTGCGAAGAAGGATGGTTAGGGATGTGAGAGATCAAGGGGGGCTTTCTCTAGGTGGTGTCTTTGAGCAAGACCTTGAAACCTAAGGAGGGTCTTACCAGGTTGGCATGGAGGATGAGGCCACCTAGAATTTAGGGGGCAGGGCCACCCTGAGCCGAAGCACAGGGGTGTGTCCAAGGCACAGGAGCTGACTGTGGTGGGTAAGCTTAGGGCAGGTGGAAGGGGGTGTGGGCTGGGACCAGATTGCCACCCATGTAATGTTCCCATTCACTGCCTTGGAATCAAGTACAGGACTGAGTAGAACTGCCCTCCTGGGTTTCCGAGGCTGTAAACCAGGCGTCCTCAAACTACGGCCCGCGGGCCACATGCGGCCCACTGAGGACATGTATCCAGTCCGCCGCGTGCATTTGCCCCGTTTGTTTTTTTACTTCAAAATAAGATATGTGCGGTGTGCATAGGAATTTGTTCATAGTTTTTTTAAAACTATAGTCCGGCCCTCCAAGGGGTCTGAGGGACAGTGAACTGGCCCCCTGTTTAAAAAGTTTGAGGACCCCTGCTGTAAACCTTTACAGGAGCAGAAAGCTTCCTCTTTCTCCTGTGGAGCGGCTGGTGGGTTCGAGCACCTGGTCTTTTCAGGTAGCAATTCGGTGCTTAAGCCCATTATGCCACCAGGGCTTCTTCCTTTTAATAATGGGACCTCACATTTGTGGGAAATTGTGATCCTGCTGAGAAAAAGGATGTCCTACTGGTAGATGACAAAAAGGCAAAACGCCCCAAATAACTGGGAAAAGGATAATCCCAGAGCAACAACAAAGAATAAATGAGGATGATAAAAAATATATCCACCGTGGGTAAGGATGGGGAGAAATAGGTACTCTCTTATGCTTCTGGTGGAAGTGTAAACCGCACAGCCCCCTTGGACAGCTCTTTGGCAGTCTGTTTAAGCTAAAAACATCCACGGCCCACAACTTCACATGGAAAGCACTCCAAGCTATAAACTAGACTTGGGGGAGAGCCAATTCAAGAATCACATGTGCAGCCTGATGCCATTTCTGTACCATCACCACATGTACATGGGAGGGAACAGAACAAGGCTACACATTTTCTATGGGGGTGTGTGCTTACATTTCTGCACGGGAGGATGCATTCGTATAGGGGGTAACATCAACGCTCATTAAAAGACGGCAGTAGTAAGGCAGCACAGGGCTGTTCTGTAAGAAGGAGAGGGGTAGGTGGACTGGCAGCGTGTGTGAGGCTGTTAGAGAAGTCTGCCTGAGTTCTGTCCTGCTGAGTGACTTAAATTAGGACAGAACACGTGTCCCCCTTTGTCCTCGTCTGATTTTCTCTCTCTCTCCCCCAGGCTTTCATCAACATCACCCACGGACTCATGAATTTCTCTGACATTCCTGAGCTCATTGGGCCTCCGGTGTGTATCAACAGCGGCCCTGGAGTGGGGTGCTTACCCACACGTCCGGGGTGAAACAGGCTCCGGGTTGGTTTGCGATCCTTGGCGCACCTGAAGCAGACAGGCTAGCGTAGGATGGAAAAGTTACTGTCCCAGGAATCTGGTCAGGTCAGCCTGCCCTCCGAGGCAGGGGAGGCCCCACGCCTAAGATTCAGCAGTGCGAGTGTGTGTATCCAGGGACACAGAGAGACATACGTCACCACTAAGCTGGTGTCTGGGCAATGCTTTTGACCTGCTTCTGCCTGCCTGGCCTCGCTTCACAGCCCAGACAGAGCCTGTGCTAATGGGGAAAGGGAGGCCCGGGAACGGCCCATGCCTTGCCTTGGTCTTTCCAGCCTGGTTAAAAAGCTCAGGCAGCTGGCACACAAAGATGTTGTTTGCTTGGGCCCATGGAGCTGGCCTAGCGTTAAAGAGGAAGGAAGGCACCTCCTCCGGCCTGTGCAATAAACCTGCACCGCACCTTCCAGCGCCTGCTGGGGCCAGCCCTGCTCCACCCCCACCCCCTGCACCTCTGATTCCCCTCTCTCACCAGACTGTGGGGCAGCTAACAAGGGGTGATGGGTGCAAACGGAGGCCCTCTTCACACCCCGAGGAGACCTCTCCTCCCACAGCTGTGCACCTAGCCTTGCCGATCTGATGAGGCTGGCCTGAAGCCCCACCCGTGTCCAGGGCCAGTCCACGGCCCTCCCCAGGGCAGGTCTCGAGGCCGAGCCCTTGCTTCTGCAGAGCGCCTCGGTTTGAGGCAGTCTTCCTGTCTCCAGCGGGACACCCTCTCCTTGATGTCTACAAAAACACCCCCATAATCACGCCCTGACATAAGCCAGGCCGCAAGTCCAAGTCCAGGCGCACAGGGTCTTAGTTTACACTGAAGCAGGGTGGAAGTTAGGGTGGGCAATGGCAGAGCCACACCACAGCAAGCTATCAGCAGACCTACAGTGAAGACTGGCCTCTGAGCCTGCCGCCCCGGCTCTGCCTGCCGGCCATGCCATCTGGCCCTGAGGTCTCCCATCCTGTCCAGCGCTGAGCAGTAGATTTCACTGTCCTTCAGTTGGGCAAATCGAGACCTCCTCCATCCCTAGCATGTTCCTGTCTGAGAGGGTCCTGGGCCTAGCTGGCACGCTGTCTGCCCTGCCCCGCTGCATACACAGTGTACTGTGGAACCGATCCATTCTGGTTAGGTCCCTCTCTAGACTGAGCCAAACCCATTAGCCTTTCATAGCTGCTAGGAGCTCTTGCGGCATGTGTAAGTCCAGGGTTACTAGAGGAACAAATTCATAGACTGTCCCATGTGTAGAAGAGAGAGTTTTCTATAAAGGGTAATTGTACATTAAGAAATCATCCCAGCCCAGTCCAGTCCAACCCTTAAGTCCGATATTAGCCCATATGTTCGATACCAAGATAAAAAGTCCTCTTCAGACTGACAAAACACAAGCAATGACACCGAATGCAGGACGATCACAGGCCAGTGGGTAGAAAGTCTTTGGACCCCGTGGTGGTGTAAGCATCTCAGCGCTGGCAGGGGTCTCCACGTGGCTCCTCTGGCTTCAGAGGTCTGGTTGCATCAGGGTAGGTCCGTGCGGCTTCTCCATCTCAGGGCACTACCATAGGTCCATGTGTCTTGTCAGCTGCAATGTCTCCCACGCAGTGAGCAGAGAGAGAGAAGTGTTTCCCGCCTCCAAGGAGGAAAAAATACAGCAGTTCCCAGAATTCTCAGGAGAAGGCTATGCCCACACAGCGGTCTCATTGGCTGTCTCTGGATTGACAGGCTAGACTCCACCCCTACACTCTCAGTCCTCACAGTGACACGGCGTTGCATTGCAAGAGTGACAACTCAAGCCAAGATGAGCTGTACGGTGTACAGATTCACGTTTCAGCAATCCTAAGGAACCGTCCCACTCGGGCCCTAGGGACGCTGGGCGTTGGAACTGACTGGATGGCGGTGTATTTTAATAGCTGCCGCTATCCGGAGCTGGCAGGAAGTAAAAATCTATTCCAGATGCAGTGACTTCCCAGCTCTGTGCACCAGGGGCTTTCCCAGGGATGGAGGGGGCCATGCTGGCTCCCGTGAGGAAAGAGAACGGTCCCCCTTCCCACCTGCAAGTTACCAGCTCATCTCACACCTGGGCACGCTCCATGGAGTTCAGGAACACGGTGTAATAAGGACAGCTATCGGTGCTGCATCAGGACCCTGCCAGGTCTCAGGTGCCGGGTGACTGCACGGAGGGGGCTGCCGTGTAAAATCGAGAGAGGTCTAGCTCAAAGGAGCCAAGGCTATAGGTGCCCAAGAACCTTCTGGCTCTGCCCTCAACTCTCTGTGTGCCGGTGGACCTCAGAATTCTCCTTTGCACAGTAGGCTGGGGCCCTTGTGCGGGACAGTGCCTCTGGAAGATGCTGGGAGGGAGCGGACCGCATCCTGATGTGTCTCTAACTTGACCGCCTTTGCTTTTGCATGTCACAGGGGGCAGAGGGCATGCCTGGGCTGCCAGGGTTTCCGGTAAGTACCTGGTCGCTCTCTTTCATCCATGCGCATGGCTCTCCCACCGCCATGTCTTTGTTCCTTCCACTCCTTCCTCCATCTCTGCGAGCGCTGATGCTGTCTGGCTCACCTAGCCTGCCTGGTTACCCCAGCTTGTGGACCCTTCTCTGCTTTGAGCTCCACGGGGCTTTGAATCCTAGGGGTTTTTTTGCACCCTGTCTTTATTCTCGTCTGTACTGTGAACATCTACTGGAGGGTTGGGGTGCTCTCTCTACCCCAGAGACAACGAATGCCCCAGCAGTGGTTGACTTCCTATGAATGCAAGTAAATGAGTCAAGCATTTCAAGTACATAAACTCCATCAAAGAGAGAGCAGGGGTGATGGTGATGGGTGTGTGTGTGTATAAGTGTATGTGCTCCTGGTGGTGTAGTGGTTATGCACTGGGCTGCTAACCATGAGGTCAGCAGTTTGAAACCAGCAGCTGCTCCACAGGAGAAAGACGGGGCTTTCTGCTCCGATAAAGAAACCCACGGGGGCAGTTCTACCCTGCCCTTTCAGGTGCCATGAGTATGATTTGACTTGATAGCAGTGAGTCTGTTTGTTTGTTTGTTTGTTTGTTTGTTTGTGTGCTCCACTGAGGGACACCACCAAAGGTGAAAATGCATTCCCATAACGAGTTTTATCCCAGAGTTTGGGCTTTTACTGAAGCCCACATAGCCGGCCCCCAGCAGAACCTGCAGAGCTTACTGAAGACGCTGAGGAAGTGGCTCTGGGCCTCCCTCTGAAGGACCCAATGCCAACAGAGGGCAGCTTCTGTGCCCCGAAAAAACCAGCAACGTGAAGATGTCTCAAAGAGATAACAGAGATCGCTGATTCTTTATTGTTCCGTTTTCTTGCTGTGAATTAAATCCAGGCTGACACAGCAGATCATCAGGTTAGATCCAGCTCTTCATACACCTTCGACTCCAGCTGCCCACCGCAGCCCCTCGTTGGGCCTTCGCTTGCCCACTGCCTCCCTGCCTTCTTCTCGCCTAACCCTCTGTAGAGACGTTGCTTCTTGGCATTGGCACCATACGGGATTTCTTTTTCTGTTCCTTTATGCCTTTTTGAACTCAGTGCCTTTTCTAAAGGACTCGGTCCTATGATGATGCTGAAAATGCAGGGGACCCAGACATTCACAGCAGGGAAGAGAGGCCGCCCAGGAGCAGGGCCCTGTGTTAGAGAAGAGGTCGGGCTCTGGCTCTAGCCCCAGCTTGGCTGCTCCCTGACCCGGAGCATGTTCCAGAATACATGTTGCTCTAAATGAGTGGTTCTGTGTTCTCCAGGGAGCCCCAGGCTCCTCAGAAGTCCTTCCAGGCCACGGCAGGGAGTGAGGACAGGGTGGAGCAAGCAGTACCGGGGGCTGGCCACAGCCTTCCAATAAGGGACGCGCCGTTGGAAACACTTTCTACGGTGGCTTTCATTTAAGACTTTATTTGTAAGTTAACAGAGGAAAGAAAGGCAGAGTTTCACTATGAAAAACAAATGATGTCTGAAAGCCATTGCCCTGATGGGCCGCTCACCCTTGAACCCAGGAGACAAGACAGGGACTTGGAAAAGTTACATGGCAAGAAAGGGGGCGGTGGTGGGGGGGCGGCACAGGTCATGGCTATGTGAGGCATTGCCACAGCCGTAGCGTGTCTCTGGGAGTTGGGGTTGCCTCTGACGGGGAGGTCCAAAGACTGCACAGAGGGGGGGGGGGCGTAGCTGGTGGGCATGGTAGAGACTGAAGTACAGAGGCAATGGGAAGACAGAGGGTCCAAGAGGAAGGGGTCCTTCCCCCCTCCCCCATGATATGGGGCAGAGTGGAAGATGAGGTGGCGAAGCTTGGGTGAGGTGGACTTGGGATGTCAGGCTGGAACATTCTGATCCCATCCCAACAACAGTGGGGAGACAGAGAGGGGGGCGAAGTCATGGAAGCTGGGTGGGTTGGTCTGGAGGGTGGTCTGGAACAGCAGTCGGAGCAGAGCCACCCCCCCTCGGGCTGTTTCCATGCCCCTCAAATGGAGGAAACCCAAGTTCCAAGAGGTGTGGAGCTGACAGGCCTCCCAGAGCTGGACCACGGGAAACTGAGAATGTAGCGTGGCTAAGGGTGACTTCCACCTAATTGGGAATGCGCTCTTTGCTCCACTTTTGGGGGAGTGGGACTTTTCTGATTGGTAAAAGCATTTTAATCAAATAACAGCAACCCCCACCCACCTCCAACAATTCCTTCTAGGGCCCCAAAGGATCAAAAGGGGACACTGGCATACCTGGATTTCCGGGACTGAAGGGGGAGCAGGTAAGAGGGCCCCAGGGCAGGTGGGTTCCAAAAATTTTCCAAACCCTTGAAATTGGCTGGGAGCGGCTGTTAACGCATGTTATTGTATCGTACAGTCAGAGGCACCCCGCATGCATAAACTGACACATTGGGTGCACATTTGGATGACTGTCGTTGTGGTTTTCACAAGGGTGGGCAGCCGTCACTGCCATCGGGTCCCAGGGCAGTTTTATTCTCTTCAAAAGAGACCCAGGAGCACTCACTCCCCAGCGGCGAGCTTTGGTCATGGCAACATGCCTCCAGGTTGCGGCTGGGCTGCGGGGTCTGGGAAACTGAGCTCAAGCCAACATTTCTTTGGGAGGGACCTCCCTGGTGCTGCCCGAAGTCTGACGGCCTGTTGGGCACCCCTGTAGAATGCACTCGCTCTGTGGGCAGGCCTCATGCTAGCTTCTCTTGTACATACGGCACTCACAATATTTACTGAGTGCGAGAATCCATCGTTACCAAGGGAGATGAATGATCATTTTCAGAAATGATAAAATGAGGGCATTCTGCCATTGAGGGGCAGTCTGGGTCCAGGTCCAGAATCTGAGGAATAAGTGATTAGCATGCAGTGCATGCCCGAGTGGTCTCCCGACTCACCTTGAGCCCTTCCATATTGACGCTTGGATGGATAAGGCCTCACCATAGGTTTATATGGATAAGGGGGAAAGGGTTATCTGCAAACAAATATTAAGGACTTGGAGGTATTATGGTTGCTAATTCGTCCATTCGCTTATGCCTCCATGTATGTATCTGTCTACTGGTCCCCGCAGGTGTGCTAGCCAATTTCTATCCTAGGTACTCCCACTACTGATGAACTGAATTCAACTCATAGTGGCTCAAAGGATGGTGTCAGTCTGCCCCTAGAGGGTTACCAACCCGTGATCTTTATAGAAGCAGACTGCCGCACCTCTCTCCCAAGGAGCCGCTGATGGCTTCCAACCTCTGCCCTTCTGGCTGGCAGTCAAGCATTTAACCACTGCGCCACCAGGCTCCTTGCACTAGGCACTAGAGAGAGAGAGGAGTAAGCTGTAGGGAGCAGACAGGTAAAGGGACAAACAGGGATCGTGGCCATTGCTACGACGGAGGCTGGTGCAAAGCCAATCCGAGCACTTTGTAAGGAAGGGCTGGGGCGCCGAACAGGGTGTGCTCTGCAGGAGAAAGGAGACTGAAGCTTCTGCCCTTTCTCCTGCCCACCGCCCTTCTACTACTGCCCACACCCCCAAAGAGGAGGAGGGGCTCTAGTATCTGCTGGGCCCCAGTTCCAGCAGGTGGGAGGTGCAGTGCACTAGGCAAAGAGGCCTCCTTTGGAGCTGCCATGGGCTGGGGGAGTGAGATGGGGCCCGGGCAGCTCTAGCTTGGGAGGGGCCCAGCCATGCCTGTCCAGGGAAAGCTTGGGTGGCTTTTGCTTTAAACGCCCTGTTTCTAGTGCGGCACTGTCTGATGGCTCCAGAGGGACCCGCGTGCTGCCCGCTCCACTACCCTCCTGCCACCCTGAAAGACTGGGATGGGCACCCAGGCAGCTCTGCTCCCGCCGTGGCAGCAAACGCGCTTTCTCTCGCTCTGCCTCTAATGCTTTTGTGCTTGCTTCTTCTTGCTGCTGGCGTGCTCAGGACCCCGTTCCTCGCCGGCGGAGGGGTAAGATCCAAGTATTAAGGGTGGGCGTGAGGAGATGGAGCAGAAGAGGCTGCTCTGGGGGTTCTGGTACCACAGCCCGGGCTCTGCTGCAAGGAGCCCTCGTTGTGGGCCAGCCCAGCGCATCAGGGGCCCACACTAAAGTTGAAAGTCAGAGCCTGAGGGCTGCTTCGATGGTTTCTCTACCGGTCTTGCTCTCTGGACATGCACCGTCGCAGAAGTCTCCTGAGATCCAGGAGGGCTCTGCTGAGGACAGCCTTCCACCCACTTCCCACTAACATGAGGTCATTGCGCCTGACCGAGTGGGTGTTTGCAAAGGACCATGGAGTCTGGGTGCAAATCCCATGCGGCGACCTGAACCCCGACCTTCAGAGAGACCTTCGGGTTGACTCCTTCCCCTCGTTTCCCGATCTCCAGTGTTTTAGGAGGAATAACCATTCTTGGTAGGAACAGACCTCGAGTTGAGGTGTCAGGAAAGCAAGCCGTCAAGTCTCTTGGGACCGAGAAGCTCCTGGAGGCTGGGAAGGACCCTGCGGGGCTGGACCCGGGAGGACTAACGGGGGCCTTCGAGGGGCAGGACGACCACAGCCTGGGTTTTCAGGCAGGACTGCGAGGGAATCGCTCACAGGTCGTGAGTCAGCCACTCAGTCGGGCAGTTGTCAGCCTCCTGTGTCTAGTGAGGGGGGTGTGTACAGTGGGCTTGGATGGGTGCGATGAAGACAAGAGACATCATCCCGGTAGGTGTGAAGCCTCAGCGCTTCTCTGGACCCGGGGTGAAGAGGAAACCCAGTCTCATCGAAAGGTTCTCTGAATTGCAGGGGGAGAAGGGGGAGCCGGGCGCTGTCTTGACCGGAGACATTCCTTTGGAAAGGCTGATGGGGAAAAAGGTAATAATGACCCCAGACCCTGTGGGCACACATCGGCTTCGGCCTCCCTCCTCTGAGTCTGTCTCCAGCAGTGTTCCCCCAAGTGACAAGATGGGTCTTCCTGTTTCAGGGTGAACCTGGGGTCCACGGAAGCCCCGGGCCAATGGTAGGTGGAGTCTTGTGTCTGGGTCTGCTGGGGCTCCCTTAGATGCTGGTTGGGCAAAGACCACGGGGGTGGCACAGTGTACAGACCCGGCCTCTGGAGGGGGCGAGGTCAGGCCCAAGCGGGGCAGATTCTGGGAAGAGGTTCATCATACTGTCAGCTCCTGCCTAGCCTTGCACACCCCACCCCAGGCGACACAGGCGCTCCCGAGGCAGCTGGAGGAGGGCAGCGGTTCTAGAAGCCTGTGGGTCCGGACGGCCAGCACCTGACAGGCTATGCTCCTGGTCAGGGACTTTGCTGGATGGTGGGGGAGTCAGGGCAGGTCTCTGCTCCTCTGAGACCGATGGAAGCACATCAAGAACCCAGTATGGAGCATGATCTTGGGGCTGCCGTGGAGCTAGGCTGGGGTATAACGGACAGAATGGGGAAGCGTTAGCCCTGGGGCACAAGGCCAAGGCCCACAGTCCACGTGGTCTGAAATGGCCCAGCACCCTCTTGCCCCAGGGTGGGGAGGGAAGAGATTCAGCATGGGGGGGTGGGGGGAGGCTTCCTTCTGAGGAGGCACTTCCAGCCGTGAGCAGGGAGGCTGGGAGAGCAGGAACCAGGCCGGTGGCCACCCCTTCCTCCTCCCCTCGGTCCCTGTCACCCCTGTCCACAAAGGCAGGCTGGGTAGCCCCCATCTTCTCAGACCTTGACCTTCTGTTCTTCACTACCCTGTGTTTGTTCTTCCTCTAGGGGCCCAAAGGACCACCAGGACATAAAGGGGAGTTCGGCCTCCCGGGACGGCCTGTAGGTATTCATGTCCTCAGAAGGGTTCCAAAGGATGGACGCATGGCCAAGTGCTGACGAGGGGGTGGCGGCTTGCTAACACTTCTCCTGTGGGTTTCAGGGTCGCCCAGGACTGAATGGCCTGAAGGGTGCCAAGGGAGATCGAGGGGTCATGATACCGGTGAGTGCCCCCCGCCCCGATGCCATCAGTGGGGGGAGCCGGGAGGCCCGAGTGCACAGGAGGGGTGAGAAGCTGCGGGTCCAGTGAACAGGCTGCAGACGGAATGCTGAGGAATTCTGTTCTCCCTTCTCCACCGCTGCTTCGGTTTCTATCGATATTTTTTCCCTGGCACTCTCAGGAGGGCCCCTCCCACTGATAGCAGCATAGGGAGCCATACTCGTCCCATCCTGACCGGAGAATGGGTGGCAGAAGGAGGCCCTGGTGTGCTCAGGAAACCTGCCTTCAAACCCTCTCCCCTCCTCTGGACAGCCCAGGCTTTCAGGCACCAGTGGGCACTCAGTAAATGCTTGTGAGTGACTATCCAAGGGACATCTACTGATGAGGAGGGGCCTCAAAGGATGGCAGGGCATCCGGGCAGCCACAGAGTCCAGGGTTAGAAGGAATTCTCAAGCACTCACTGTACATCAAAGGACCCTTGGTTACGAGTTGGGCTGTGATCCCCAAGGTTAGCAGTTCTAAGCCACCCGCCGCTCCATGGGAGAAGGACAGGTCTTTGTACTCCTGTAAAGAGTTCTAGTCTCAGAAACCCACAGGGGCAGATCTACCCTGTCCTCTAGGGTCATTGTGGGGTGTTTTTATTTATTGTTTTAGCTGTACATCAAGCAAAGGGCCTTGAAGGCCAGTCTCTCACTTAATCCTGACAGTAACCACCCCCACCATGAGACCTCTGTGGGGCCCTTGTTTTACAATGGAGGACACGGGCCGAAGCAAGTTGAGCTCATGCCCCTGATTGCCAGCCCCCGACGCAAACATGGCTCTTCGTTCTGGCTGCCGCTTCTCAGACACGCGCCACCCTGTTTCCACGTCCTGCACCCAGAAGTCGAGAAACGCCATTTGTTCGAAGCACCAGGGGGCGGTGGGTGGGGGGAGGATGGACTAACAAGAGTCAAACCTGCTGGCACTGTTAGGTTAGGCCAGAAACGGATGCCATGGCACAGCTTCTGCAGGAGCCCAGGGCCTCCCGCCTGCTGAGCGGAGCCTCCCGGCTGGCCACAGGAACCCGCCAGACCTCCAGGTTTGCGTGACGTTAAGGTCAGAGCAACCCAGCCTTTAGAACAGTTCTGCGGCCTCACACCAGTGAGCTGTCCTGCATGGGTAGGAGGCACCTGCCCACATGAAGGACACCCTCGGAACATCATCGCCTGTGGGCTGCTGGTGGGCAGAGAGGGGGCAGAAGCTGGCTTCCCGTCTCTGTTCGGCTGTACAGTCCTGGGTGCCCTTGCGCAGGCTGCTTTCTCCATGCTGAGCATCATTCCCTGCTTTGGTACAGCAGGATGAAAGTTGCCACTGGCTCTCCAGGCGCGGCTTGCCGCGCAGTGCCGGCTGCCAGGGAAGAAGTGCTCTGCAGGGGGCACTGGTCTTCCCAGGGCACAACTTCATCTGCTTGGCCATGCCGACTTCCCTCGTGGTGTTCCCAAGCCTGGGGAGGCTGCTGCAGCCGCCTCTGCACTGAAGACCCCCGCAACTCAGGAAGGACCTTTTTTCCTTCCTCAGGGACCACCTGGCTTACCTGGGCCTCCAGGCCCCCCGGGACCGCCTGGACCTATGATTAACATCAAAGGAGTAAGTGGGGTGGGGCCTGTGGTGGGGAGAGCATAGGCTGGTCATGGGGCTGGCCTTAGCTGGAGGGTGGGGTCCTGGGATGGTTGGGTGGGCTGATGAGTCACCTCTCTGTTCTCATTTCCCATAGGCTGTTTTCCCAGTACCTGCCCGGCCACACTGCAAGACGCCAGTAAGTAGACACGTGCCCCTTCGGAGCTTGTACCTAATGACCTGGGGCCCTGAGACATCCTGGACCTTCTAAGTGGGCACGCTGCCCGCGTGCTGCCTTTAAAGTATTTGAAAAAAGCCTCTTGTTATCATAGTGGGTGGCTTGGTGCCATAGTGGTTCCGTGTTAGGCTGCTAGCCTTAAGATCAGCGGTTCAAAACCACCAGCCGCTCCATGGAGAAAGAGGAGACTTTCCACTCCCATAGAGTTCCGGTCTCGGGAACCCTCAGAGGAGGTCTGTGACACAGAGAAGGACACCTCCTTGTCCTAGGTCACCTAGTGAGGGCAGGCGGAGCCAGGGACTTCTGACCATCAAGCAGATGCAGGCACTCTGAGCCTCAGTGTCTCCCAGCCAGCCTGTGGTGCTGCTGCCCATTTCTGTGGGGAGACCCAGGGAGAATGGCCTCCCATGAGTACAAGGCTGAGTCATGGAGCCACTCCCCCGACAAAGATGGACTGCTCACCCACCAAGTCCTCCGTGGCCTTGTGGACACGGGGATGAACTAGAGAGGCTTCGTCTCTGCCCCAGGGAGCTTGTAAATTATAACTGAGAAAGAGTCCTGGGAGCAGGGTCATGATTGTTGCTTGTGGGAGGAGGTGATGGTGTTTGAGTCACTGGAGTCAAGATGACATGGCCTCAACATGTGTCCACCTCAGGGGCACTGAGTCTCCACCACAGGCCAGGGGACGCCGAGACAGGCTGCTGAATGGGACACACCGTCACTAGCTCGCACCTGGGCACCAGGGTGCCAGCCAACCAGAAGGGGAGGACAGGGGCTTTCACACATTTCCATCGAAGAGCTTGGGAAATGGTCCTGAGAAATGCCCCAAAACCCAGGACAGCCCCTCTGAACTCCACGCCAATGCTCAGCTCACCGCCGGAGTGCAGGAACCTCATCAGTCTCACTGCCGGAGAGCAGCTTGGTCCTGAAACCTGCCCCCTCCTCCTCCCTCCTCCTCCCTCCTCCTCCCTGAGTCGAAGCTGACTCAGAGTGACCCTCTAGGATAGGGCTGCTCTGTGGGCTTCTTTCTTTATGGGAAGGGAAAGCCTCGTCTTTCTCCCATGGAGTGGCTGGCGGTTTTGAACCGCTGACCTTGTGGATCTCAGCCCAATGCATAACCATTACACCAGCAGGGCTCCTGGGGTTGCAGGTGGCTCTGCTGTGATAGGAGAGTGCAGGGATCTGCGCTGTGGGAAACCATGGGAAGGAATGCCGTCTAGATCAGCTGGGACTACAGACACCTGCCTCGTGGGGCTGGGGAGTCCAGAATAGCCTCCCCAAACCTGATACTCACCCCTTACTAAAGAACCACTCGGTTAGCATCTGTCCGTTATGCTCATCTTTCATTGTGCACATCGAAAAACTAACAGCTGGCCCAGATCACTCACTGGGGCACTTGGCGCCTCCCACACATGGGCCTAATGCTAAGGCTGAGCCTCGGAGGATCATGGTTGGCCAGACCAGCACTGCCTTGGCTTGGGGTCTACAAGTTCTAGGCTTCTTCCTTGGTGAGATTTGGGCCACTAGGACCCAGTTCTGTTGATGCCTGCCCAGCTACATGATGGGGCTCCCAACTCAAGGCCTGGGATGCCTCTTCATCCAGGACTGCAGAGGCCGGGGGAGAGATGGGGAGGGGGGCTCACTCTGGCTCCCCGCACTCCAGAGTCAAAGGAGAAAACCTTGCTCAATGACATTCCTACTCAGGCCACACCCCATGATGGTGGTGGCTACAGGCGCACACCAGCAGGAGCCCGGGTTTGTGACATGCGACCTCCCCTTTCTCTCCCTGCAGGTTGGTGCCCCGCATCTGGAGAATTCGGAGCTCATCACCTTCCATGGTACGCAGGACCTTCCCTTTCCATTTCTCTGGTGCAGCCCCTGACCCCAGGAGCTCTGCGGAAGGTGTCAGTGCTGGGTGCCCAGTAGGTGGTCGGGCAGGTCTGCCCGGGGGTAGCAGAGCCCGGAGCAGAACTGGGATGTTCTCCTCTGACCTGGTGGCCCCTCTATCTATTGCGTCCACCTGGGTCGTGCCTCCTATGTGGCAGGAAGTGCTTCCTTTGTTCAGAAAACCCCCAGTGATGCCTTCCTTCTCCTTGTGTGCTGCTGTCCCCAAGCACCGAGCTGAGACAGATGAGCCCTGCCTTGTTCCTGTCCCCCAGGCACTTAGAGTTGGTTAGGGGAAACCACTGGTAAAAATAATGATCATGCACCGTGCCAGGAGAGGGCCATGGGATCTCAGCAAGCCTCCTCCGGGCCAGCCGCAGCTGCAGGAACAGCATCACCTGGGAGCTTGTCGGAAATGCAGAACCTCTGTGCCCCACCGCAGACCTGATGAGTCCAGTCCTGCCTTTTGATAAGCTCCCCAGGTGTGATGTGTGTGAACAGCCAGTGGCAAGTAGCGCTGGCTTAGGGTGGTGACTAATAAATGTCATCGTGCTCTTGACCTCTTGGAGAGAATCCACTACACGCCGGAGAGGGGTGGACCACAAGAGAGGCTCCCGCGGGTGTGACCAAATAGCCATGAGATCAGGTATCCCCAGGGGCACTGCCCTGTAGCAGGCTGGGGGCAGAAGAGTCCAGCCAGAGGTGGGTACTGGAAAACAAAACTATTCCCCCTTTTAAGCGTTCAATCAAAAAGGGACAAATGGAGGGGTGGGACCCAGAGGCAACAGGTCATCCTGGATGTGACAGCCCCTGCTGAGCCCCACCCTTCCTCATGGTGAGTCATTGTCACTGAGCCCTCAAAGGAGCAGCAGTATTGGTGAGCTCCCTGGCCTCTCCCCTGACTGGACTCGGGCTGGAGGCAGGGGAGGCTCCACAGGCCCCACTGCCAGGTCCTTGGTCTCACGCAGCTCCCCCAGCATCCCTGGGGCCTTGTGTGATGCACCTGCGTCTTCCTGCTCAGGAAGGACTTGCTCTAGACCAGAGACGTGTTCAAGACACTCCGGAGGGCAGCGCCACACCCCACCCCACCCCTCTCGAGCTCAACTTCTTCCTCCCCCTTCAGAGGAGCCTGAGCCCGCAAACCTCATCACCCTTGGGTTCCCACCTCCAGGCTTCTGAGCACAGACGGCTTGATTGTTCAGGCCTCTCATGAGCCAGGCATTTTCAGGAATCTTGTCTGCTGGTCTAGCGGCCACCCCATTCTCCATGGTAGAGAAAGGAGGTCACTTCCACTCCCAAATGCTGGTCTCCTGAGAGGGCGGCCTCCTGAGCCCAGTCCCATAGAAAGAGCTGGAGAGAAAGGAGTGGCTGTCACTCATGTTCTGTAGAAATGGTGCTTTTCCCATGTCCTGTGGAGCGGTGGGCCACCAGGTGTGCTAAGTATGTGAGTGAAATCCTCCGATGTCCTGTGGGCCCCCGTCACCGTTCCAGACGGTTCCTGTCTTCCCCTCACACTGCAGCCCTGCTGCACAGGCTGATTGGAGCTGGAAGGCTGGTGCAGGGTGGAGCCCTATCTACATTCGAGGAGTTAATTGTAGCTTCTGTGGGGCTCTCCTGATGCTAATGATATAGCACTTGGTTCATCTCACCTTGTGTTGTCATTAGCTCTGTCTGGCTCCCTAGCGAAACCGAGCTTTTCAAAGTCAGGAATCAGTGTCTGATGCCTCTACCTGCATTCTTACCATCATTTAGCAAAGGGGTTCAAATGGAGTGGCTCCCCCGTGGGCCTTTGTTTCAGTGGACTCTGCTAAAGGGGCTTGGTTTGAAAACTTGTCTCAGAAAGCTGTGATTTTCTACGATTCTCCTTCCCCCACCCCCACCCCCAGAATTTGACTGTTACGGTTTTGTTTGTTTTTTTCTGGTAGGTGTTAAAGGAGAAAAAGGTGCTTGGGGTCTTCCTGGCTCCAAAGGAGAAAAAGGGGACCCAGGATCCCAGGGACCACCAGGTAGTCCAGCTCTTGTTTTAGATCTTGCCTTGGGGGTTATTCTGAAGAAATGCTACTGAGCCAGAGACTACCACAGATCCCGTGACTACCCTGACCTCAAGCGCCACAGAGTTCTAGAGAGACCCAAGAATCATGGGCACGGACTGTCCAAGGGTATCCAGAGACCGGAAGTTCTGCCCCTTCATGTTTCAGATATAAGACAAGGTCCAAAGAGGGCCAGAGACTCGTTCAAGTTGCCTCAGGATCTCAGGAACCAGAAATCCAAAGGACCGCTCTGCTGTCTGGTCCAGAGGCCGCCCCCACCCCCACCTTGGCGGGGAAGTGGGGTAGCTTCCCTCCGCGGGTGCTGGTCTTTGGAAAGGCATCCTTCTGCAACCCCCTCCCAAGGAAAGAGTTGGGGAGAAGGAGCCGTGGCTCTGGATCGATGGACATGGCGTTTCTCACGACCGTGGTGAATGTGGTGGTGGAGGCGGAGGCGGGCTGCCGTACAGGTGGCATTCTGCTGACCTTGTCAGTGCGGTACTAGGACCAGGACCCCTGTCTGCTGCCAAGTCATTGCCCACTCAGCCGAGCAGCTTGCTTCCTGTGGGATGTCACAGTGGCTACCCACTAGGAAGCTTTCATTGTTTATTTTGACGTTTCTGAAAACATGATACATGGATTTTATGAGAGTTTCCTTTTTAGGTCCTCCGGTGGATCCAACCTATCTGAGACATATTCTGAACAGTCTGAAGGTGAGGCTTTCTCACGAGACTCCAGGCCGGTGTTCCCAAGTCCTGGGGCTGACGTCAGAAACAAGCTCCCTCCCCCTCTCACTGAAATCATCCTGTGTTCTCTGCTTCCAGGGAGAGAATGGAGACAGGGGCTTCAAGGGGGAAAAAGGAGACTCTATGGGCCACTTCTTTGTGTCTGGGCCCCCAGGCCTGCCAGGAAGTCCCGGAGTGGTTGTAAGTCGTGACCCCTCCAGGTCATCTTCCTTGAGAAGTTAATGGCGTTCCCGAATAAGATTAGACAGTTGGCGAGCCAAGGGTCAGCCCTACTTCTATGAGCTGCAGAGCGCTTGGCTTGGGCATTAGCTAGCTCTCCTCTGAGACTTGTTTACTGATGTGGAGCTTTACTGAGGCCCATGGAGGCAAGGGCTGTGTTCACTCAGGTAACTCCAGGTCATTCACTACCCTGCTTTGTTCCTGTAAATGGGGAGAAACCCACTCAACGCAAAGGAGTTCTTAGTGGCGGGTGCATTAGATAACCGAGACAGAAGGATGAGTGGGGAGATGGTTTTCGAGGACCTAGTTGATCTGTAACACGGGTGGCCCCCCTTCATCTCATGGACTCTGGACACATCATGTGGAGGGACCCGCCTTGGAGCATCAAAGAGTGGGTGACAAGGGAACGACCTTCAGGGAGACAGACCAGCACAGTGGCCACCACAATGAGCTTGTCGTAGGGGTGGTGCAGGACTGGGCGGGGCTGCGCTCTGTCCTCTAAGGGGTGCTAGGGGTTGGAACCCATTCAGCGGCAGCTAACAGCAGCAGCATTGGGTTTGAAAGGCCAGCGTTCTCACCCAGAGGTGCCTCAGAAGAAATCAGAGGCCATCTGCTTCTGAAAAAGCAGCCACCGACTGCCCCACGTGGGATCTCCATGAGGCAGGATCAACTTGGCAGCTGGTGGATTTTGATTTGACCCTTCTGACATCACATTGAGGAAGGGGGGCTAGGAGGTATTCTCCAGGCCAAATTCTCCAGGCCAAAAGCTATGCCCTTCAAGAGAGTGTGAGCCAGTTGTTGACAGTCAGGAATCATCAGCCACTCTGGTCTCAGAGCTCATCATGAGCCAGCAAAGCCACGAGATCCAGGTTCCACCTCAAGCTCTGCTCTGATTTGCACGGTGGCCTTAGGAAAGGCCTTTCCGCTCTCGTGGCCTCTCGTGGCCTCGGTTTCTGCCCGTGGAACCTGCAGAAGCTAGAGTAGACGATCTCAGGGGCCCTCTGGCTCCAGGCGCTCAGCGTCTCAACCTGCTGAGTGGGCTGCTGCTCTATGGGTCTTGCCTCACCTTGAGTTGGGCCCAAGGTTGAGAGTGATGATGACGTAGCTGGTCACTACTGACTTCTTACTGAATGGTGGACACTCTACCAAGTATGAATTTGATCTCTCTGCTAAACATGCAGTGATCTCATTTGTATCTTCATAAGAATCCTATGTGGAAATGGTCCTATGCCATTTCCGAAGGTGGACACTGAGGCTCATTGAGGATCAACCACATGATTGAGTCCAGAGTTAAGAAGGGATGGGATCAGAAAGTACAGGCTTGGGTGATTTGGGTACTTCTTAACCAAGAGATCCAAACAGACGTCCACCACCAGACATCCTCGTTAAAGCGGTAAAAATGACCCTGGTGATTGATGTTGCTCTCTCCTCTGTGACTACCTTCTTACCTTAATAGGGCCAGAAAGGGGAGCCGATCGTCGGGCCCCAAGGACCTCCAGGTGCTCCTGGCCTGCCTGGACCCCCTGGCTTTGGAAGACCTGGCATCCCTGGGCCCCCAGGACCCCCGGGGCCCCCAGGACCTCCAGCTATCCTGGGAGCAGGTTGGTACTGTGAGCTGCCTCTCATGCCTGCTATCCCTGCTGTGTTCAGGTCACCACCTCCGGTAGGCTTCTCAGCGCTTTCAATAGCCCACACTGTCTAACAGAGGGCCGTGTCCTGGGTGCCAGTACCTGGACCGTAGGGACTGGGCAGCCGAGGATGTGGGTTAGAGACCACCTGACTCTCACAATGAAAATCTCTGAGCCTCAGTGTCTCAGGTGCATACTGGCGGAGAGAGAAGGGAATCTCCATGTATGAAACATTTACCAAGTACTGACACTCCACTGGTCACGCTACTACATTATTTTACTAAATTTGTATAATAGTTTTTAGAGGGATATGCTAGACTCCCAATATTACAGGTGAGAAAAGTGAGGCTCAAAAACACTCAGGAACCTTTCCAAACTTACACAGTGAACAAGAGTTGCCTATGGAATCAGGACCAAGATCAGTATAGCTCCAAAGCGTGGCTTGCTTTCACTACCTCCAGGTTGGAAACCAGTACTCCTCACAGCAGGCGCTGCAGTCAGTGGTTTGATTGTTGCCTGGGTTGGTTCGAGTCCGGCGTGGGAAGCACAGAAAGGGCAGACTCGCATCCACCGTGTTTGGGACCCTGAGCGTGGGGGTGGGGGGGGGGGCGTTTACCGTCGCTATGGGGCTGGGGCTTTGACATTGGAATGGATTCTGTCTTCATGTGACAGAAACTAAAATCAAACTCGATTGAGAAGGAACACTGACTGGATGTGGAGGAAGTGAGCAGTCAATTTTCGAAGGGGGCAGACCTACAGCTGGACTGTGGGCACTCAACCACGTCGGGGGCCCTCCGACCTTCTCTGATCTTGACATCTGGCTCAGGCAGCTTCAGGTGTGCTTCCCACGGTACACCACACCCTCCCCATGTTGGGAAAGATGCCTACCTAGAATTAGCTTCTGCCATTAAGTGGAACTCCTGGCCTTCGTTCTCAGTTTTAATTTGAAAAGCCCTGGCAGAGGGTATCACAGGGGCGTGCATTCTGATGGCCTGTCTTGGCCCAGGTGCCACCAGCCTTGGGCCAATACTGTTTGTCAGGGGTAGAAGAAAAAGCTTCGCATCGAATCATGCCAACTCTTTCCGAAGCCCAAACTCCTGAGAAAAGACCTCGCTATAAATAATACCTCTTTATTTGCCTGAAGGAAGACTTTTTATTGGGGAAAACCCTGGGCTCCTAGAGAGCTCAAGGACGTCCTCAAGGATCTGTCAACCCCCGGATTTTTTGTGGGAACCCTGTGTGTATGTGCATGCATTTGAAGGAAGGAGGCGATAAACTTGAACTGGCTTTGAAGGGCCTGTGACTCTTCCAAAGCTAAGAACACTGCTGAATGCTGCAAAGTTTGCAAGCACACTCACGGTAGGTAAGGTCACTCCCTCCTCACCCCACCCCGCTGAAGGAGAGAGGATGCCTAGTTACATTTCACAGATAAAGAAATTAAGGACCAAAGAGCTTGCATTTACCCAGGATCGCACATCTGGGAATTGACCGGCACGTGGCTTAAATCTATGTCCCTAGTCCTAAGGCCTGGGCGTCTGTCACGGCACTGTCCTGCCCGCCTTCTCCAGTCTAGCGTCTTCTCCTTCTCTTGAGCCTACATCCTCTCTCAGGGGACATGTGCTGGTCTTTGGGGGGAAGTAAATTGTATCCATCGGGACATTTGCAGATGCATGGGGCAGAAAACTCAACTTCAACTGGCTTATTCAAACAACATCCAAACAGAGTTTGTTCACTTACCAGACTGACAGTTGTAGGTTTGGCTTCATCCGGACTTCAGTCAAGAATCCCAGCTCTTCCCTGGACCGGTCAGTGTGGCCTGGGTCCTATCCTGGGCCCAGAGCCTCCACGATGCAGTTTCAGAGTGGATTGCTTAGCAGCGCTGTGAGAAGGGCGTGAACCTTCCTCTCTGCATTTCCAATGAGTGTGTTTTGTGCCTGCCCCTTTCTGCTTTCTCTCAGCTGTGGCCCTTCCTGGTCCTCCTGGCCCACCAGGACAACCCGGGCTTCCTGGATCCAGAAACTTGGTCAGTACTGAAACCAGTGTATATTTCTTATTTCTGCTTTTGATGAATTGACTTAAAAACCTGCCTCTAGTGTTTAGAAATAGTGGTTACACACTGGGCTGCCAACGACAAGGGTCAGCAGTTAGAAACCACCAGCTGCTCTGCGATAGAAGGGCTTTCTACTCCTCTAAAGAGTTACAGTCTCCAAAACTCATGGGGGGGTGGGGGGGGGGGCGCAGTTCTGTCCTGCCCTGTAAGGCCACTGTGAGTCGGCATCACTTGATGGCAGTGAGCTTTTGAGAATATGCGCTTTACAACTGGCACGCATTTTATTTGGGAATGAGACCTCCATGAACATAGAATTAACACAACAAAACCGTGTGTGACTTGGAAATCCAAATCCAAATGTTGAATAACAACTCAAACAGATGAAATGTGAGGAGATGATGTTTTGAATCTGAAGACGTCTAAGCACTGTGAGCAGTGTCTGTGATCTATTCAGATGACTTCCCAAGGAATCATGTATTATTTAAGTTCCATTCTTCTAACCCATAACTGGCTAAGCTGTAACAAGCCCTGATGATGTAGTGGTTCCCAATGAGCTGCTAACAGCAAGGTCAGCAGTTCGAACCATCTGCTCCTCCATGGGAAAAAGACAGGGGTGTCTACTCCTGTAAATAGGCACAGTCTCAGAAACTCACGGGCATAGCCCTGTCCTGTCCCCTGGGGCTGCTATGAGTTGTCTTCCACTCGATGGCACTGAGGGAGGGAGTGATAACAAGAATCCATCCTATTACATCACATCGACACACGTGTTCTTCGCTGGTCCTGGGACTGGCCAGTCCTTCTCTGTACTGTTAGAGGGTGTTGCTTACACATTCGCCTGCAGGCGCTGGACAGAGCAGAGAAACGACTGCAGGGCACCAAAGACGGACAGCTAGAAGGCTCTCAAGGCCATCAGGAGTCCTACGAAGACTCTGATCTTTGCTGGATTTCAGTCCAGAATTGTCTAACAGAGCTCTCTGGAAGATGATGGGATTGTGCCAGCTGATCACTTTGGGGGAATTTCTCAGCCATTTTGATGCAGAAGGTCATTCAAGGCTAGTTGAGTATTTTCAGCATCTTTCTCAGTGGAGATGGGAAGTGGAGGGGGCATGCAGCACTCTACCTCTTTCGGCTGAGATAGCTCTTCGACTTCGTAGACTGTCACAGCCTCTGTGTTGGCCTCTAGATGTGCCAAGACGGCTGTCTACCTTTGGCAGTTTTCTAGACAGAGAAGTGACGGGCTACCCTTTGGGATCACGTGCTTAATCAAAACCCAGCTAGGCACAAGATTTCTAGACCCGCTTGCTGGCCTTTCATGTTTTATTTTTATTTCCTTTCTTTCCACGTGAAAAAAAAAAAGAACTATTTAAGGAACCGCAGGAGATAACACCGTTTTAAAACGGCAGTGTCACTGAGTGGCTGAAGAAAACAAACCAAAAAAAGACCCCACGTCAGGTCACCGTGCCAGTAATTGTGCTGGTGCCCAAACCCAGCAGCCCTTCCTGCTCATAGAACTGGCGTGTCTGGGGACTCACAAAGCCCTGCCTCCTCTGCTGCCCATGGGTAAACTCTTTATCGTTTAGATGTGTGCTTCCAAGTCCTTCCTAGCTGCGTTTTCCCCCAAAGAGGGCCTTTCGTCGAGAAGGAAGCCCCGGGTCTATGAGTGGCACAACAGCGAGGCCTTCTTATTGGCCGTGAGGGTCTGGCTCCTATCTGAGTAGACAAACTCCCCAAACCAGACTCTCTGTCACAGAGTGCATTCCAACTCACAGAGACCCATGGGACAGAGTGGAACTGCCCCTTGGGGTTTCCAAGGCTGTGCATCTAAAAGGGAGCACCAAGCCTCATTTTTCTTCCCTGGAGCCGCTGGTGGGTTAGAACTGCTGACCTGACAGCTTAGCAGCCAACCACCCCCAGGCCTCCTTTGACTTCACAAAGGGCCGGCTTTTCCGATTGTGCCCCTGCTCCCGTGATAAGTGCCATGTGCGGGATTTCAAATGCTCTGACAGGTCACCGCGCTCAGCAGCATGGACGAGATGCTGCAGAAGGCGCACCTGGTGATAGAGGGGACCTTCATCTACCTGAGGGACAGCACTGAGTTCTTCCTACGCGTCAAGGATGGCTGGAAAAAACTGCAGGTAATTCTGAACCTCCCTTTCACGCAAAGCCCCCCACGCCCTCCAAGAACCGCAGTCTGTGCCTAGAAATGCCCTTTCCCGGCCGGGGCCGCCTTCTCACTGTCCCGTTTGCCTTAAAGCTGGGAGAACTGATCCCCATCCCTGCGGACAGCCCTCCACCCCCTGCGCTTGCCAACAACGTGAGTATTCCGCAGCTTGGCTGCTCCTCCCTCTGCGTGTCGGCATTTATGAGTCCCCTGGACTGACACCAAGTCCCCAGACTCTGCCTGGTTTCACGGCTTATAGATGCCCAGAAGTTACCAGGAGGACACTCAGAAGAGAGAGCTGGACTCAGAGGCGGTTCTGCCCGTGTAGTTGCTGAATTCCGACTTGGCCTTGGTTCCACTCAGTCCAGTGACATCACTGATTGGTGTGGGCCAGGGGCCGGCAAACTGCGGTCCTGAGCCAGAGTCGGCTCTTCCCGTACCCACGTGGGGCTCTGAAGTAACATGGCAAATGAAACTATTGTAGCTAGGGCAGAGTCCAGCTGCCATCTAGGAGAGATCTTGAACTTCCACACTCTGAGGCTTCTTGGCTTGAGAAGCCTATCAGCCTACCTTGCCCAGTGTCCATCCCGACAGCGGCTCCCGAGCCAGGTCCTGTGGTCCCCATCTTGCTATGAGCAAACAGTCTTTGAGGGGGAACTGGCTCTGTTATGTGAGCAGGGTGTCCCAGGCACGGTCCTCTGCGTCCTGGGTTCAGGCTTCTTTCTAAAAGACGTGAGGTCACCCCCTCCCCTTCTGAGGCCCATGGGTCTGCTGGAGCCTGAGCCTCTGCACCATCACGAATGGTCCGAACACAGTGACAGATACCGAAGAAAGTACCTTCTGAAAAAACAATGCTGTACTAGCACGGCAGTGTCCTGCTCACCGCCCCCGCCCCTGTTTTGTCTTTCTCTACCTAACAGCCATATCAGCATCAGCCGCAGCCCCCACTGCCGCCCATTTTCAGTGCCAACTACGAGAGGCCCGCAGTAAGTACAACGCACGCGCTGACTCAGCGGGCAGTTCCTGTGTTTCTGTGACGCCGCGCCAGGGCCTGGGCTGGTACATAGTTTCCACTGCCCAGATGCTTACAGAGTAGTGAGAGAGGCAAGGGATAGATGTTTTGATCAAAGATCCTATAAAAGTCCTCCTCGGAAGAAGAGGATGTGGAAAAGGATTTCAAATTCCCCACGGAATCCAGACTTTCTGGAGTCGTTGAAGCTGGATGAGGCCCTGAAACAATCGGTCCTCTTTAAACCTTAAACCCAAACTCATCCCGAAATTCTTCTCTGAACCGAGAAGACTGCTTATTTTAACCGGTAAAGCACATCTGTTTCGAGCAGTGTGCGCTGTAAAGTATTGTCTATGTGAGATCAGAGGGACAGTGGCCATCGGAAGAGTTGGACGGTAAACCTGGGGATAGTGAGTGTGAGATGATGGTGGTGAAATGGGGAGCAAAAGGCTAACGGGGAGAGTTGCACAACTTGAGGAGAGTAACCGTTGTCCCAGGACTGCATGCAGAAACTGTTGAAGGGGTGTATGCATGGCTGTGCGTGCGTGCACACACGCAAAAAGGGAAAGACTGGCTGCTCTAATAAGGTGGGGTAAGCGGTGTGGGCATGACCAGCAGTGGTAGGTTAGAGAAATCTGTGAGGAAGAGGTGCGACCTAAGACTCAGACTCTGAGCTAAGACCTGAAGGAGAGTCGGGAGCAGGCGTGAGCGGGGCGGAAGGCGGCGGCGGCACAGAGCTGTGGGCTGGTGGAGGGCAAGGGGAAGCACTGTGTAGCGCTCTAATTGCAAGTACTCCCGCGTAGCCAAGAAGGGAGACATTCTGTCTGCAGAGAGCAGCCAGAGTTAGTCATCGAGGGTTTGTGAGGCAAGCGAAGGACTTTTCAGTGGGCAATAGAGAGCTAATGAAGGGCTATGGGCAGCACAGAAACCAGAGAAAAGTACCACAACGTCCTGCCCCACCAAATGGGGTTCCTTCCCTGTCCTTCGACTTCGGGCAACTAAAAATATTTTTTTCTTTTCTGGCAACTTGGACCCTTCCTGCACTCTATGCTGATGAGATAAAATAACCTTGTTTTAGTCTCGAATATACTCACGTAACTAGCAGGTATATGCATATCATGTGCATCGCATGCATAAGACACTGAAATACAAGGGGAGAGTGTAGTCTGCAAAACTTTGTAAGGCACGTGTTACTTTGTGTAAAAATTGTGGTCTGGTACTCCGGAGATGAGGCTGAGGAGGAGGGGTGAGTGGTCTCGGGTTGTGCAATGTGTTCTGAAGGCCCAGCCGCAGGGAGTGGGAAAGAGAGCAGGAGAGGATGCTGGGTTTGGGGAGAGAGGTGGTGCAGGAGAAAGCAAACTATAAAATGCTTTGAGTTTGGGCTGCTGCCCAAAGTGGCAAGGATGTGTGGGTAGGGTTATCATCCGACCCCTAGCTTCCCAAAGCAGCTACCCAGCTCCCTTGATAATAAACGCCCTGCCTTTCCTTCTTGAGCCCAGGCCTATGAAGGAGATAGAAGAAGGTGCAACAAAGCATCAGGCAGGTAGCTAGCTAGAGCCTGGGACCTAAGAGCCAAGCTGGCTTGAGATCTCTGCTTTGTCCAGGAATCTGGGCTCTGGGCACCCAGCAGTTTCAAACCCATGGCCCACGGGCCGATCCAAGGAGCCAGTGTAAGGAGGGCATTTCTGCCATTGAACGCTGTGTACAGCGAGGGCACGCTGCTTTGGGAGACCCCTTGCTCTCCTTCCCTGGAGATGCTCCAGCAGGGATGGAAATCCTAACCACAAGCGGGAGCTGAATAAGACAACTGCAACTCCTCCACCCTAAGGAGTCTGGGCCCTTGTCAGGGTCCCCAGCTGGTTCAAGGGGATGGTGTTTGCCCCTAAGTCATTGACTGCAGCGTCTTTTCTTTCACGGTTCCCAGCTGCACTTGGTGGCTCTGAACACTCCGGTTTCTGGGGACATTCGTGCCGATTCGCAGTGCTTCCAGCAGGCCAGGGCTGCAGGGCTGCTGTCCACCTACCGGGCATTTCTGTCCTCCCATTTGCAAGATCTCTCCACAATTGTGAGGAAAGCAGAGAGGTACAGCCTGCCCATAGTGAACCTCAAGGTAAGGATGAAGGAGTGTTCCCATGGCCTTCTGGGTGTGCGGGTCAGCCGAAGGACCCTCGGCTGCTGCCTCTCATGACATTGTCAGAAGAGTGCTGGTTCAAAGTCCACCTCTGACCCCTATAGACTGTGTAATTTGGGGGCCAATCACTTACCCTCTCTGGGCCTCGGTGTTCTTGTATATTTATACTGGCCCTTTCTGCTTGGGTGATCTTGCCAGCCTTTCTGTTTATAGGGTTTTATTTTACAGTTTATAAACCACTATCCAAGGAGGTCTGGTGGCCCAGTGGTTAAGGGTTTGGCTGCTAACAGAAAGGTCAGTGGTTCAAACCCAGCAGAAGCTCTGCAGGAGAAAAGAGCTGGCCGTCTGCTCATTAAGACTCACAGCCTAGGAAACCGTGTACAAGGTGGCTGATTTAGGATCCACTTGAGGATGCCCAACGGCAGTCTCATCCTCCTAAGAGAGGATGGACGGAGAGGAAATGGAAGCTCAGAGGAAGAAAAGTTTCCTTAAGCCCATGGAAAACCAGGCTTAGCTTCCCTGGCTCCTGCACCTAGGCTCTTTGTTCCAGCCCAGGATAGCTGTGAGCATGGTCACCAGCCCCTGCACCTAGGCTCTTTGTTCCAGCCCAGGACAGCTGTGAGCATGGTCACCAGCCCCTGCACCTCGGTTTGGTGCTTTCTGTGCATCTAAGCTGCCAAAGCTAGCTATGCCCCTGTCCCCCTTTACTGGCCACCTGCCTTCAAACATGGCACAGAAGCAGCTGTCTTCTTTGAGACTGAAGAAGGACAGTTGAGCCACTGTGCATACACATCCTCCGCCCTGACTACATCCCCAAGGTGTGTGGAGACCCTTCGGTCCCGATCACCCAGGATTTTGACTTAGCTAAAAGGTCCCCTACTGACCCCACACCAGCATTTGCGTCCCCTCTCCCGGGGTTCTGCCCGACAAGTCACCTCCTGGATGCACTGGTTTTCAGGGCCTCTCCACAAGGGCCCCTCTGTGAAGGAGGATGGAGGTGTTTGTCTCCACCTCACCTGCAGTGCAGAGTGGCACAGGAGCCTGTACACATTTGAAGCTCAGCACAGAATTTAGAAAATAAAGACCTAAAACGCACTTTTGATCGAGAGGAGCCTCCTACCCATAAGCGCTAAGAGAAAATAAGAGATCCAGGCCAACAGGCAGGGTTCAAGGAAGGATCGCAAATCAGTCCACAAGCATTTCCAGAGCCCCTGCTCTGCCTGAGCTCTGGAAATGGTGTTGGGAACTTTGGCATGTGGGCCTGGAAGGAGGAGGAAAAATCTAGTCAAGTTTTCATGCAGCTTGGGGGGTGATTCTAATGCAGTGTTTTGTGTCCACAGGGCCAACTACTTTTCAATAATTGGGACTCAATTTTCTCTGGCCATGGAGGGCAATTCAATACTCACATTCCGATATATTCCTTTGATGGCCGAGACGTGATGACGAATCCTTCTTGGTAAGTGGTGGTGGACCTCCTTGTGATGTAGAGCACCACAAGCCAACCATGGGGTGCCGCCGTCGCCGTCCCTCTGGAAGGTGGCCAACAAGGCGTCTCAATGAGGTGACTGAGGGGGCCAAGGCTCAACATGAAACCTGGGCTGACTCTCTTCCATTCTCTGAGCCTCAGCTGCCTCGCCTGTAAAATGGGCAAGGTAATCATGTCCCATGAATAGCATGCGTATGTGTGGGACCATCGAGTATGCAGTCAGCACTCAATCAGTGATGCTAGTCCTGGAGATTGTATAACTGTGAGTTACAAACTCCAGTGCCTTTTAGAATAGAGCAGCTCAGCAAGCCTTTCGGAAGGAGCAGTAATAAACATCCGTAGCCCCACCCTGCTCCTTGCCAGGACAGACAGGCACAGACCAACGACAGTCCTAGGCAGAATACTATCGTGAGAGCGTGAAGACTCAGACAACATGATAGGAACATGAAGGAGAGAGTCCTTTTTATTTGGGGACAAGGTAGCTCTGGGGGCACATTGCTTAAGTGCTCAGCTGCTAGCGGAAAGATCTGCAGTTCAAATCCACCCAACGCTCCCTAGAGGAGAAGACCATGCAGTCTGCTCCCCTAAAGATCCCTGCCTAGAACACCCTGTTGGGCAGTAGTCCTACTCTTGTCTGACCGGTGAGCTTGCTATGACTCAGAATGGACTTGATATCACAGAGCAGCAGCGCCTTGGGGCAAGCACCAGGGAAAGACTTCTCGGGGGAGGAAGCACGGAAGCCTTCATGGGACTTTTAAAGCTGAGGAGACACTGGGCTGTACGTGAAAGAGAGGCCCCTACAGGTTAAGGAGCCTCGTGCATGAGCCAAGGTTCAGATTCACGACAGCAGGGTCTGGTTTGAAAACAGACTCTGGTTTGAAGACTGCGTGTTCAAAAAGTTGAAAAGGGCCATGAGGGTAGGAGATTGTTGGGGTGGGGGTAGAGGGGTCTCTCCACGAAGGGGTAAAGGAGCCTGACCCTTGATGCCCTAGCCTTATGCTCACTCACACACTGAGAGGGCAAAGGAGTGCGTTCCCCACGGTAACACAGCCTAACTGCATTCTAGGCCCGAGAAGATCATCTGGCATGGCTCCAGCGCCCACGGCATCCGCCTTGTGGATCACTACTGCCAAGCGTGGCGGACCTCGGACATGGCCGTCACGGGACTCGCCTCCCCGCTGAGCACGGGGAAGCTTCTGGACCAGAAGGCATACAGCTGTGCCAGTCGGCTGATTGTCCTGTGTATCGAAAACAGCTTCATGACTGACGCTCGGAAGTAGCCAACGACCTTCCAAAGATGCCTAAACGTGGTCCAGCTTCCTTGTGTGAAAAGTTGACACTGACATTTCAGATGTTTAAATGTTGTAAATATGACAGTGTTTTTTTAAAATTACACATTCATCACAACAGCAACCAAAGAAAACATACCTCAATACGCTCAAAACTGAAGTGATAAGGGACTTAGATCAAAGACAAAATCCGATCCATATATTGGTGCTAGACTCTGCAGGAAACCTCATGCAGTCGGTAGGACACTCGCCCCGGCCAGGTTAAGGGCAAGTTAAAAAAAAAGGCCATGCATGGCCTTCTGCACACTGCATCCTTCAAGAAGTGATTGCTTCCTTCCAACCAACCGTTGCGATTGAGTGCAAGATGTGTTTCATGTTTTCTTTCCAAGCCAGTGTTTAGAAACGTGACCCGTACCTAAGTTATGTGCAGACTAACCATATGCTTTGTTCTCAAACAGCCACCCATCATCTGCAACGGCTCTTCATACACCCCCAGACACAAAACTGCTCAGCGATCCTATTGGTCCTTGCAGACATTACCAGACTTTAATGTTTTCCTCTTTAACAGCATTGCTACGGGGCTTTGGGGGTTTTGTATTGTTACGCGATCATATGTTAGTATGGCTTCTGTTTATAGAACTGACTTGCTGGAGAAGTCGAGACTCCAAGTGATCTGAAATGAACAAAGAAACAGCATGGCATCCCGACATTCCCCTCGCCCGCCTCCCCCCACCCCAGTTTACTCCTGATGCCGGGACTTTCATTTGGCAACTCTTGAATTATAACTGTACCTTTTCCTGAGACCAAAAGGCCCCAGGGATGAATTTTCTGAGGCACCTGTCTCTTCGTGCTGTACACATTGATCATTTTTCCATGTAAGTGACATAAAAACATCTTTTCCAGGCACGTTCTGCTGGTTGACTTATTTCACCCCCTTGTCTCTTGGTTCTCCACCCTTGACAGGAAGCCAGCCTGGGCTGGGCCCTTCCATGTGCGTTACCCACTGCAGTCGCTATGGAGGCATTGGGCCCGTGTCCGCCCTGCGTTGCTGGGGAGAACCGTGGTCCACAGGGGTCCTGTGGCTGTGACTTTTCAGAAGCAGATTAAACCTTTCCCCGGAGACATCCCTAGGTAGATTCAAACCTCCAACCTTTCAGTTGGTAGCTGCACAGGGAACCGTTTGCACCACCCAGAGACTCCTGGCCACTCAGGAAATGAGCAGGGACCGAGACGATCTTTCCAGCATACTCATCTGCTCCTACCCATCGACTCCCACCGGGAGGCTCGGTGCATAGAAGAGCCCAACACTGATAGAGGGTGACTCGGCTACTCCCTCGGGGAATGACTTGGAACAAGGCTGCCTCTCTCTCTCTCTCAGGTAGACTTGGCTGAAGGAATCTCATATCAGCACCCAATTGTTAACCATCAGACTTCCTATACCACTATGTCCCATTTACTTTTCATAATAATCCTGCAAGGGAGGAATGCTTGTTTCCACTTTGCAAATGGAAGGAAAAAAGTTCTGAAGTGAGGCTTGGGGAGTCACTTGTTCCCCAGTCATATGCTGGTGAGTGGTGGGGTGGGTTTCAGACTCCGGGTTTCTCATTCCAGGATCCAAGATGTTTTCAAGAAATCACCATTCCAGGCTCCCTCCCAGACCTGTGACTTTCTGTCTCTTGGTCTGACCCTGAAGGATAGATATGCTCACCAACCACGTGCCCTGCTGGGACAGGTCCTCTGATTCAGCCAGGCTGGTTCGTAAATTCTCACAGTGGCTTCACCCTGATAATCCTTGGAGTGTCAAGGTCATTGAAGAGAGGGGGGAAAGGACAGACAGCCCAGAACTTCCACTTCCAAACTGGCTGCCATCGGGTAGGTGCTGATTCATGGCTGCCCACTGTGGGTTTCTGAGACTGTAACTGCTTACAGGAGTAGAAAGCCCAGTCTTCCTCCCAAGGGGCTGCTGCTGGTTTCAAACTGCCGATCATGCAGATCTCAGGTCAAGGTCTTGGGATTTCCTAGCTAAGGTGTCATGGGTGGCATTGATTATAGGTTGGAAAGCCCCGGAAGTGAATTGTCTGGGACCAGCCCCGCTGCTCAGTGACTCCAGCTGTGTGTGTGGTGGTGGGGTTGGCGGTCTGGTGATGGATCAGAGCCACAGGGAACAGGCGAGGAGGCCGTGGGGTCAAGAAACGAAGACGCAGTTCAGCCAGAGCTCACCATGGCCAGCGGCACAGACAAGCGAGTGCTGGGGGAGGTGAACTCCCCCCTTCCCCCAACCTATCAAGTAGCAGGATGTCCTGGGTCCTCTTTGGAACTCAGGGTCCTGGGAAGCTTAGGCAGGGTGCAATCAGACTAAGGATCAAACTAACTCCTGTCCATCTGAAGGGATCCCACCTATTGCTGATTGAATTATGACCACCTATTGCTGATTGAATTATGATGGATTGCACCACTAACCATCCAGGAGCCCAGGAGTCATTTATTTTTTCATCCCTTCTTTTACTGAAGACCTTCAACAGGGCTGCTGCTATTGCTATCAAGTGAGCCTGACGCTGGCGGCCCCCTAAGCAACAGACAGAACATTGTTGGTCCTGTGCCCCCTTGACCAGAACTGGCAGACTCCATTCTGTTGGCGTCACTGTGCCTTGTGAGTGCGTCCCAACCCAGGGGTCTCGTTTGTTCAGTAGCAGATGATCAGAGTCTGCCCTTGTGATCCATGTTTTTTTCATCAGATAATTTTAGGAAATAGGTCACCAGGCCTTTCTTCCTATGAATTATAGTCATCAACAACCATAAAATAAGTGTCAAGAAGTTCGACAAAGTCTACATAGTTCCCTGATGACGACTTAGATTTTTATCAATGTCGAAATCTTTCTAAGACCATCTTGGGGTCCTATGAAGGCACCAGCTCACTCCTCCATGCTGATCTCCCACCTTCTAGCCCAGGGGTTCTCAACCTTTCTCATGCCATGACCCTTTCATACAGTTCCTCATGTTGTGGTGACCCCCAATCATAAAATTATTTTCGTTGCCACTTCATCACTGTCATTTTGCTACTGTTATGAATCGGGTGACCCCTGTGAAAGGGTTTGACCCCAAAAGGGGTCATGACCCACAGGTTGAGAACCGCTGCTCCAGCCTCCACCCAAGAAAGAGAGCTGCCCTCGGCCAGTGTGTCCATCCGCGTTCCCTCTGAGAGGAGGGTTCACTTGCAGGTCGCTTGTCTGGGAGGTGATCTCCAGAAACACTAGTGGAGGAGTGAAAAGAGAGAGCGGGGAAAGACAGATGGACTTTGTTTGCGAACAGCCATCTGAGATGCAACTCTCTCTCTTCTCGTCCAGAGCAAAGAAACGCCAAGAAAATCAATGACCCAAGTAAGCGTTTGGTCCCAAGGACTGAGGGACCACACACGCCACAGCCTCTACTCCCTGGCAATCAGAGGAGCCACACGGTGCCGGACCACCACTGCTCTGATCGCGATCACAACGGAAGGTTCTGAGCAGAGAGGGGAGAACAAAACCTTCAAACTCATGAGGAAAAAAAAATCAGACTTCTGCCTGCAAGAGAACTGTTGAGACCTTAGAGACCGTGGCCCTGAAACACCCGTTAAAGTCTAGAGCAGAACTCACCCCAGGGATCATCTTTCAGCAAAGCAACAGACAGGTCTGTAAAATGAATAACTGATCTAGTTACAGTAGAGAGGATTGTACTCCTCGGTGCTATCAACCTTGGGAGACCAATGGGGCAGCATTTGTCCCAAAACAAAGTTCAGCGGGAGGGTAAGAGGGACGATGGCATCGGGAGGCCCTGGCGGGCAGTGGGAAGAGTACTGCTACAGTGAGGGGACCCAACCAGTGTCACCGGCGAGATGTGTGCCAGTGCTCCGATGGGAAATACAAATGACTGTGCAAAGGTTTCATGTTTAGAAAGAAAGGCAGGCTTTCCCACGACGGGTAACCCGATTGTATGCTCTGTTTAGCATCTCTGGGAAGCCAACGGGCAAGAGGTTCCTCTGAGTTTGCAACCTAAGAGACAAGAGAAGTGGAGTATTTACACACCAACACACACACACACACACACACACACATCATCATCATCATCATCATCATCATCAAAAGGGATAGAGTGTGACATTCAGGTGCTTCTGGCCTGCTGTGCACAGGCAGAAGGGGCTCAGGGTGCCTGAGAAAGCTCCTGAGCAGAGCGGCAGCACTGGCCATGGACAATTGGAGGGATGCATTGCACGCAGGGTCACCGGTAGGCAGGCAGAGTAGCAAGAACGGCTATGAGAACCACCTCGTGGCCATGGGTAGGCCCACGGGAAAGTAGTCAGGGCACCACAGGCCAGTTTTATCGCGCTCACAGTTGTATTTCCACATTACACTTTCAGCTTACACTGACTTCTCCTTTTCTGAATCGAATGAAATGACACCAGAAACAAAGGACGAGTCCCCACCACCACTGTCCCATACGGAAGAACTGCGTCTGCGGGCCAGACACTGGGAGGCCTTCCTGGAAGAGAGGACACTGCTGTGGTTGGATGTTTTACAACCCAGCCAAAGCGGGGCTTACCTGAGAATCCCTCCTGATGCTGCTGACACCCCCTGGGCGACCAGCTGGGAACAGCTGGGTGGAAGCTCCTAGTGGCTGACAGCACCTGAAACAGTGACCGATCCTTTCCAACACAGACTTGCCTCTCTGTAAACATCAACAAATCAGCAGTACCAGCTAGTCATGCAAGGAGATTCAGCAGCCTCAGCAAGGGAACCATGGAGACTAGCAATAAAATTTTATAGGTTTTTTAAATTTTTGTAATTTGGATTGTCAGTGAAATTTCTTACGGTAATAGAAGCATGCCCTGGAATTCTAGGAGAACAACAAAGAGACCTGGAAAATGCCGTGCCCTTGAAAATAAAACAGAGCTACTGCACAAAAGAGATACCATTCACCGTGAACTTATCAGATAAACTTCTTAAGAGTCAACATGTTCTCAGAGCAGAGGAGAAAAGTGTGGGTTGACAAGGTAACACATAAACGAGTGTGGGATAATGGGCAGAGTGCTCCATATTTTCACACTGGGAGTTAGGAGAGAGACGAGATGCACAGTTGGAAGAGAAACAGAAAATAAAAGAAAACCAATTTTCTGAAGCGAAGATAGAATTGTATCTGTGGATTGACATGATTCATTGAATGGTAGGCATCATTGTTGCAAAAGCTGACTGCCGCAGTTCCATAATCTGCCAACTTGTGAAGGGGTGGAGTCTAGCCTGTCAATCAGGTCACAGCCATTGAGGCTTCAGTGTGGGTGTGGCCTTCACCTGAGGATTCTGGGAACTCCGATCTTCCTCCCTGGAGGTAAGGCACACACGTGCTGTGAGACCTTCCTGATGAAAGGACAGGTGGGGGGAAAGAAGACACATGGAGCTACGCTGATGGAGCCAGAGCCCTGAAGGAGCCACTTGACGACCCACATCAGCACCGAGATAGATCCACCACCTCTGGATCCCCAAGACTTTCTACCCACCGGCCTGTGATCTTCCTGCATTCGGCATCATTGCTTGTGTTGCATGAGTCTGAAGAGGAATTTATAGACTGGTTTTGGACATATGGGCTAATATCGGACTTATGGACTTGATCTGGACTGGGCTGGGATGTTTTCTTGATATACAATTAGTCTTTTATATAAAATTCTTTATTATACACATATGTGTCTATGAATTTCTCTAGTCAAGCCGATCTAACACAAAATACAAGGCATTCCTAAAAAACAGTGCTGAAATATCTCATGACATAGATGGACCTACAACCCATTACACTGAGTGAAGTTAGTCAATCACAAAAAGGGTGAATATTGTATGGGTCACCTACGATACGGCTAAACACCAAGACAAAAGCAGGTTACT